TCATAGATAAATGAAGTGTTGTGTATCTAAACTGTGAAAGACTGTTTACTCATATAAAAACTGAAGATTTGATATGTGTTACCACACATATGAACCTTGAAAGCTCTGCTATAGGAAAGAAGCTGCAGCCCAATAGCAACGTGTATATTAATGCATGTGTATGAAGTAACCACAATAGATAAATCCAACACCACAGAAAAAAAGTCAGTGATGACCAGGTCATAGGAAGACAAATCACTTCAGTCCCTGAAATTTTTTCCACTCTTGGTGGTATTTGGCTCTTCAGGGAGCAGTGGAAATGTTTTGTAACTAGACATTAGTGATTTTTGCAAAGTACTTAGAAGATATCAACAACCTTCAAACAATACATTGTAATTGTGTAAATCCTATCTTAATGAAAACAAAGTGTCAAGGGAGAAAGGACTATGAGTACTTTCTGTGTAAAACTCACAAAGACAGATATCGCCTCAGAGTAAAGGGTTGGAAAAATACTTTCCAATCAACTGGACCTAAGAAACAAGCTGGTGTGGCTATTCTAATATCTAACAATATAGATTTCAAACTATATTCAATCAAAAGACACAAAGAAAGACATTTCATATTAGGCACAGGAAGAATCCATCAAAGGAAATCTCAATAGTGAACATCTATGCCCCAAATACAAGGACACCATCATATTAAAAGAAACATTCCTAAAGGTTAAATCATACACTAAACCCCACACACTAATAATGGAAGACATCAGTACCCCACTCTCACTAGACAGAAACTTAACAGAGAAATAAGAGAATTAACAGATGTTATGACTCAAATGTTGAAAAAGACTTTGACAAAATACAACGTTCTTTTATGATAAAGGTCTTGGATACAAGGACCATACCTAAACAGCAAACCAACAGCCAATATCAAACTAAATGGAGAGAAACTCAAAGCAATCCCACTGAAATCAGAAACAAGACAAGGTTTTCCACTTTCTCAATATCTATTCAATATAGTTTTTGAGGTCTTAGCTAGAGCAATAAGACAACAAAAGGAGATCAAGGGTACACAAATTGGAAAAGAAGATGTCAAATTCCCACTATTTGCTGATGATATGATAGTTTACATAAGCGACCCCAAAATTTTACCAAGGAATTTCAACAACTTATAAACACCTTCAATAATGTAGCAGGATACATTAACTCAAAAACATTAGTAACCCTCCTTTTCACAGATGAACACCCTTCACAATAGCCAGATAGCATAAAATATCTCTGAGTAACACTGACCAAAAAAGTGGAAGACTTGTATGACAAGAACTTTAAATCTTTGAAGAAAGAAATTGAAGAAGACACCAGAAAATGTAAAGTTCTCCCATGCTCTATGTAGGTAGAAATAGCATAGTAAAAATGGCAATCTTACCCAAAGCAATCTACAGATTTAATACAATGCTCAGCAAAATTCCAGCAAAATTCTCCACAGACCTTAAAAAAAAAACTCAATTTCATATGCAAACACAAAAAACCCAGGGTAGCCAAAACAGTCCTGTATAATAAAGGGACTTCTGGAGGCCTCACAATCCCTGAGTTCGAACTCTACTAAAAAGGTACAGTACTGAAAACAGCCTGGTATTGCCATAAAAACAGAGAGGAGTACCAATGAAACCGAATTGAAGACCTAGATATCAATTCACACATTTAAGAATACCTAATTTTTGACAACAAAGAAAAAATATAAAATGGAAAAAAGAAAGCATATTCAACAAATGGTACTGCCATAATTGTATATCAACATGTAAAAGAATGAAAATAGATCCATATCTATTGCCATGCATAAAACTCAAGTCCAAATGGATCAAAGACCTCAACATAAATCTAACCACACTGAACATTATAGAAGAAAAAGTGGGAAGTACACTTGAACTCATTGGATCAGGAAACCACTTCCTAAATATATTCCAGCAGCACAAACACTGAGAGAAACAACTAATAAATGGGACCTCATGAAACTGAAAATCTTCTGTAAAGCAAAGGACATGGTCAACAAGACAAAACAGCAACCTACGGAATGGAAAGAGATCTTCACCAACCCCACATCAGACAAAGGTCTGATCTCGAAAATATATAAAGAACTCAAGAAACTAGACACTAAAACTCTAATTAACCCAATTAAAAATGGGGTACTGAACTGAACAGAGAATTCACAACAGATGAACTTCGAATGACCAAAAGACACTTAAGGTCATGCTCAACCTCCTTAGCGATCAGGGAAATGCAAATCAAAACAACGTTGAGATACCAACTTACACCTGTCAGGATGGTTAAAATCAAAAACACCAATGATAACCTATGCTGGAGAGGATGTGGAGTAAAGGGAACACTCCTCTATTGCTGGTGCAAGTGCAAACTGGTATAGCCCCTCTGGATATCAATGTGGTAATTTTTCAGAAAATTAGGAAACAACCTTCCACAAGACCCAGCAATATCACTTTTGGATTTATACCCAAAGGATGCTTAATCCTACTACACGGACAGGTGCTCACGGACTATATTCATAACAGCATTGTTTGTCATAGCTAGAATGTGGAAACAGCCTAAATGGCCCTTGATCAAAGAATGGGTAAGGAAAATGTGATACATTTACCCAATGGAGTACTGTACAGCAGAAAAAAATAATGACATATTGAAATTTGTGAGCAAATGGATGGCTCTAGAAAACATCAAATTGTGTGAGGTAACCCAGATCCAGAAAGACAAATATCATATGTATTCACTCATAAGTGGCTTTTAAATATAAAACAAAGAAAAACCAGCCTACAATTCAGAACCCCAGAGAACCTAGACAACAATGAGGACCCTAAGAGAGACATACAAGGATCTAATGCACATGGAATATAGAAAAAAACAAGATCTCTTGAGAAAGTTGGGAGCATGGGACCCATGGGAGAGAGTAGAAGGTGAGAGGAGAGGATGGGAAGGGAGCAGAGAAAAATATAGAGCTCAATAGAAACAATATAAATGAAATCCAAACTAAGTCACATATATACTAGTTTTTCTTGAAATTAGATTTGTGAGTATTTTATACATATAAGTATTTTGCCTGAATATTTCTTCATACACTTTGTATGCATGGTTCCCCAAAATTGGAACTGCTGTTCTTAGCTGCACTATATGTTCTAGAAATCCGATTCCATACTCTGTAAGAGCAGCCAGTAATCTTAGCCACTGAATCATCTTTTTAGCCCTCCAGTAACTAATTTTCAGAATATTCAATGTCTGTAGTTATCAGAGAAATGCAAATTAAAACTGAGATACCACTTTACCCCAGCCGAAAAACTATCAAGAAGAAAAAGGACCACAGATGTTCAAGAGGATGTGGGAAAAAGAAGAATGCTCGCTCACTGCTGTGGGGGTGGGAATTGATACAGTTACCGTGGACATTGGCTTAGAAGCACCACACAAATTTATAAAGAGAATTACCAAAAGATTCAGCTATATACTTCTGGGCAAATTCCCAAAAGACTCCAGGTTCCACCATAGAAACACCTGAATATCCATGCTTATTGCAGCTCCATTCATAACTTAGATGTCCATCCACAAAGGTGTGACTAATTAAAATGTAGTATATATGCACAAATGTAATATTATCCAGTTATAAATAGAAACAGAATCATGAAATTTGCTTTAAGGAAAAGATGGATCTGGAAAGCATGAACATTAAGCAAGGAGAAACCAAATTCAGAATGACAAAATGTACAAGTTCTGCCTCAAATGTGGACAAATGTAGATTATAACCAGTATGTATGTGAGGGTGTGTGTCTGTGTGTGTGTGTGTGTGTGTAAATAAGTCTAAGGGTGAGTAAAGTTTAACAAATCCTGGAAAGGTGACTGAGAGAGAGTAATAGAATTAGGTGGTGAGGTAGGATCAGGGTGTCAACACAGGGACAAGTGAGTAATGGAAGAGGAAAATTAACAGGGAGTGAGGAAGCTCTAAGGCAGGAGTGATGGAGTGACTGGCTTATGAATAAAATGGGAGGAAAGGAAACCATAAAAATTCACTTTTGAATTTGTTAAATGTATGAAAATGTCATAATACTATCTAGCATATTATATGCTGATTTAAAAATTAAAAATGAGGAAAAGTCAATGACTGTCACCAAATTGGCGAAATGAACAAAAACTACCTCACATGAATTAAGGTGCTATGGAAATGTTGCTTAAAACATGAAGATAGTAGATGACAAAAAAATTAAAACGTCGATCTACAAGCCTCCACTAAAGAAAAACAAAAAGAGAATTCTCTGTGTAGGAGAAAAATTCAACAGAAAACCATAAATGACAAAATATAAGAAGTAAGGGAAAGGGAATCTGTAAGATTCCATCCCAGTGGGAAAGTTAGGGTGGAGATGGTCAGTGTTGTTTGATTTGTTGTTGCTGTTTGTTCTCTCAAGACAGGGTCCAACTATATAGCTCTGGCTGTCCTATACCTCACTGTGTAGACCAGGCTGGCCCCTAACTCACAGAGATCAGTCTGCCTCTGCTTCCCAAGGCCTGAGATTAAAGACTTGGGACACTACACTTGACTTCATTGTTTGATTGCTTAACCATACATGTATATTATATTGGTTTACTTCTTCAAAAATAGCTGATTTATACAAATATTTCTTATTACAGATTTTTAAAAAGATAAACACCTATTATCTTTTCTTCTTTCATGTCTGTATACATATGTGCATGTTTGTGCATGTATGCATATGTGTCTGTACTTGAGAGGGTGTGTGTGGGTGTGCATGTGTGCAAACATATGTGCTTTTGAAGGCAGAGATCAATAAGTAGTGCTGCTTAACTTGTGTTGCTTCCTGGAGTTCCCGGTTCTTCTAGGATGGCTGGCCAATGAACACCCGATGTTTGTCCTTCCTGCCTCCCCAGCTTTGTGATCACAAGCACACACACCCCATGTGGCTTTTTATGTGGGTGCTGCGCTTCAATTGTCCCCTTTGATTTGCTGTCACTTCTACTTACCCTCTTGCTTTATTGGCAGAGAAACTATCTTCTCTTTATATCCTAGGGGGTGAGTCATGGACACAACCAGGTGCTGGAGGCCCAAGGACCTAACAGTTTTCAAAGAGATGTCATATATTTTAGAGATGGTCACTGTGGTATTTGGGTTCTTGGTAAAGTACTCTTCCCTCATGGACTCTAGGACTTGTGAAGGGTAAATGGAGATTCCAGGAGCAGGCTTTCCCATCGCTGAACAGTGAAGCCTAAGGAGATCTTCAGAGCCAGGAACAGGATAGAGTTTGGTTGCTAATTCAGATACAGCTGAGGCAAAGAGAGGGAAACAATATTAATACAAAGATATGTCCTTATCAAATTATCTGCTGTTCAAGGATGGTGTTTTCCCAATATTTTATGACACACAAATGCTAAAACATAACCCTCTTGTATACTTCCCCTCACATGCCATAAAACTTCCAAAACCTTTTGCTCTGTTCATTGACGGTTGTCTCAACTCCTATACACCTATAAATTACATTATATGTTCCCATTATTTCACATTTATATGAATGATAAGGAACTCTGATGTTCTCACTCTTCTTATTTGAAGACTGGGAACCCTGTTTCATTTCGTCTTCACCTTTCCTCCTTATTCTCTATTCTCTCCTTTTTTCTCATATCTTCTCCTTGATTTTGTAACAAAATTCTGATGCTCTTCCTGGGTTTTCTCCACCAAATGGAAGCCTATGAGGTATAATGTAAAGAAGAGACATGAGGTAGGTAATAGCTCTTGCCAGAACACACAAACTTCACTGGCCTTCATCAGTTTCTCCTGTTTAAGTAACTTGGACTCATCAGCAATTTTTCTTAATGCGGCTTTCTCTGGACAATGTCCTTAAACACTGTAACTCCATGATGTCTGCCCCCATTATAGGACCCTAGAGAAAGAGTTATATACTTAGGACGTTAAGGCAGGTTTGTCCTCCATGGCTGCCATATGCAAAGGTGTTAAACAGACACTTGTAGCAGGCTTCATCTTCAAACGTCACTTCTTGGATGATTATGAAGGAGACATTGGGTTCCAGGATCTTGCAGTGCAGCCTGTTTACATATGGTGGAATAATATTTTCTCCATATTTATGGCTGTAAGTGCCGATATTGTGAAGCAATGGACCTTGAACTTTCTGCCAGGTGACTTGCTCAACATTCACCAGACTTGTCAAGTTGCAGAAGATAGTCACATTTCTCCCTAGGACAGCTGTCTCAAAATTGTTATGCTTTATCCTCAGTGAAGACTCTGAAATTTGAGATTCATTGTTAAAAGATATATTCTTCCATCCTTCTGCTTACTATTCAAACAGCTCTCATCTCCCTATCTTATGATTACCATTTTCATTACCTCTTCTGCTTAATAAAAAAATGAGGCATGTGTGACAACATATTCCTGATGGAGGAAGGAAGATTGTGCATTCAAGACCAACCTATGATACATAGTTGAGACTCTGTCTCAATAAAAAGGAAAAGGTCTGGAGATTCTATGTACATTATCAGTGATAGAATGCTTGCCTGGTACATTCAGGGTCCTGCACTGGATCCTCAAACATAGGAGAGAGAAAGGCAGAGACAGACATACAGAGAGACACAGGGACATGAGACAGAGACCAAGACAATAAGAAGAAAAAGAACTGCATATGTTCTTCAACATTGAACATTTAGTTTCTAATTGGTTTTCTGGCACATATTACCTAATACATACTTATTAATGATAAAAATTAAGAATTATAAATTAGCAAATATAAGGCAATATATACATACGTATATATACTTAACAGACATATTTCTGTATATATGACACACATATATATATATATGATCAAGCCTGTATCATATTACTAATGTATGTATCTATACATGTATCATAAAGTAATCATTATTCTACAACTGTCTGGATTGCTCATGTACTTATTTAAGAAAATACTTCATCAAGAAAATGCAGCTTAAACTGAGGACTACATATGCACCAGATATTTACAACGAAAGACAAACAATGTCAACTTTGCAAATGTGCAGAAACAATACACCTCACACACAGTGCTGAAGGGAATGTAAATTCTGTTGGATACTTGGTTGAAATTCTTGGAGTTATCTGATCACTGAACAGCAGCATTCTCTATAAGAAATAAGTCTACTCATAATTTAAATGTCATAGAAGTGCATACATGTGTTCTCCAAAAACGTAAAGATATTTATAGAAACATTATTTGTCATGATCAAAACCAAATCCAAATTAAGAATGTATTTTGTACCACATCGCAGTGGATGATCCCAAACTTATGGGTATGGGGGCAGGACACATTGAACTCAGGAGGCTATTTTTTTGAAAGGCTTTGAAGTTTGAGTGGAGAATTGAAGGTGGATCTGAGAAGAGTATGAGCAATGGGGGATAAATATGACCAAAATATATTATAAACTTATCAGATAATTGATAAAAATATTATGTTAAATAGAATAGATTGCATAAATACATTAAAAAATGAGAATTAATAAACTATAGTTTCTCTAAAATTTTGGATAAATCCTACCAATATATTAAGAATCAGAAACAAATATATATGAACTGCCCAGGTCATGGCATCTTTCATAACAATAGAGCAGTGATTAAGTCAGAAGTAGGTACCAGGAACCAGGATATTATTGTGACAGGCCTAACCATCCTGCTTGTGGACATAATGGAGACTTGGGGATTTTGGACTAGAGAAACATTTGAATGTTTCAAGCATCGTTTAATGGGACAGTAGTAGAAAAGCAGTAGGGCTTAGAGCAATGTAGATTATGATGGGCTGGTTCAAGAAGTTTTAAAGTAGAAGAATATTAGGAAGTGACCTAATAGTTGTTCTTGTGATATTTTGACAAAGAATGTGGCTGTGTAATTTTTCTCTTGTCCTAAAAATTTGACATAAGCTAAACTGAAGAGTTTAAGAATACTGGCATTGGCAGAGGAGACTTCAAGAGACCCTACTGTTGACTCTGTTATATGGTTTGTAGTAATCACTCTTCTTCAGATCTATAATGAAAAGGAGCAAGCTGAGAAAGGAAAAGCACAAATGCACAATTTGAGGAGAAAAGGAGCACCATGGATTGTAAGGAAGTTAGTTTTGTAATTAAGAAGGTAAAAAAATTCAAAGAAAAGTTGAATGCTAAATAGATTAAATGGAGTGGAAACCAGTAGGCAAGACCTAATGTACCTAAGCTTTCAAACTGTGGAAAACAATTAAAGAAAAGTTTAAGCAGTAAAGGAGACCATCAACAATTTTAAAAAACTGGTAGAAACATATTTGAACAAGGGGGCCAAGTTCCAACCCCAGCAAGCAGTAGAACTTAGACACTTTGGCCATATGGTTCTAGTTTTAGGGCCAAGAAAACAAGAAAGGGATTATGGAATCTCCCTCTGCAGCTAGGGAAAGATGCTGAGGCCAAGCATGTATCATCAGTGACCCATCATGGAGACTCAAAAAACCACTGAATGAAGCTGTGAAGGTGAAACTTGGATTTTATCGAAGACCTCAATAGGCTGAAAATGCAAGAACCATGGGATACTGTTGTTGGGGTTTTCTGTTCTGCCAAGTTCCCACAATCATTAAGTCCCAAAGAAATCACACAGAGGCTTATATTATAACTAATATTAGCCCATTATTATTATCTGTGTTAAACTTGTAGCTTGGTACCTTTATCAGCGAGTCAGTCACATCTTGCTTCTTCTGTGATTGGGTCAGGACTGCAGAATAGGACTTCCTTCTTCCCAGAATTCTTCTGTTCTCATTGACCTGCCTCTACTTCCTGTATGGTTGTCTCACCTATACTTCCTGCCTGGTTACTGACCAATCAGCATTTATTTAAAATATAATTGACAGGATACAGACCATTGTCCCACAGCAGGATACCTGCCAAAGCAGTATGCAAACCAAGTGTGGAACCAGCTCAAGAGAAGAACAGTGATTCAGTCAAAAAAGCTGGAATAAGTAGTAAATCCAGGAGCTCGTGGATGTTAGACATCAAGATGTAGTAAGTGCAATGTGCTCACTGATTTTTTTTCTTGTTTTGTTTCAATATGTCTTCATTATATTCTCTTTCCTCTCTTTTGGAATGCTAATGCATATCCTGTGCCATTGTGTATTGGAAGTATTAGATCTGTTTTTTAATTTTTATTTTATAAGAGGATACAATTAAGAGACTTTGAACTTTTAAACAGTGTTTAGACTATTATGGACTATGGGAATTTATGAAGTTAGAGTGAATACATATTTGCATAATTATATGACTGCAAACCTATGTGTTTTGGGGTGTGAAATGTTTGAATAAGGATGGTCCCCATTGGCTTATATATTTGAATGCTTAGTTCTCAGGGACTGGCACCACTTGAGGGGATAGGAAGGTATGACCTTGATGGTGTAGATGTGGACTTGTTGGAAGAAGTGTGGCATGGCTGGTGGGCATTTAGATTCAAAAGTTCAACCCAGACACAATGACACACTCCTTTTTCAATTGCCTGTGGATTTCGATTTAGAACTCTCAGCTACGATGTCTGACTGCCTTCCACTATGTTCCACACCATGAGGATAATGGATTAAACCTCTCAACCTGTAAACAAGCCCTCAAAAAAATGATTTGTTTTGTAAGAGTTGCTGTGATCATGGTCTTTCTTCATAGCATAGAACACTGACTAAGAAAGTAACAGGAAAGGAGTCTGAATATTACTGTGGAAAACTACCCATTTTCCGTAGTGCCTACTTTATTTATTTATTTATTTTTAATTAATTAATTTATTTATTAAAATTATCCACTTCCTCCCTTCCTCCCATTTCCCTCCCACTCTCCCCCTCCCCCTCCCTCTCCAGTCCTAAGAGAAGTCAGGGTGCCCTGCCCTGTGGGAAGTCCAAGGCCCTCCCCACTCCATCCAGGTCTAGGAAGGTGTGCATCCAAACAGACTAGGCTCCCAAAAAGCTAGTACATGCAGTAGAATCAAAACCCAGTGCCATTATCATTGGCTTCTCAATCAGCCCTCATTGTCAGCCACATTCAGAGAGTCTGGTCTGAACACATGCTCGTTCAGTCCCAGTCCAGCTGGCCTTGGTGAGCTCCCATTAGATCAGTCACACTGTCTAAGTGTGTGGACACACCCCTCGTGGTCCTGACTTACTTGCTTATGTTCTCCCTCCTTCTGTTCTTCATCTGGACAATGGAAGGATCTCCCATGCTCTTGGAATGGTAGGATCAACAAAGTAAAAATGGCAATTCTACCAAAAGCAATCTATAGAGTCAATGCAATCCCCATCAAAATCACAACAAAATTCTTCACAGGCCTTGAGAGAACAATAATCAACTTTGTATGGAAAAACCCAAGATAGCCAAAACAATCCTATACAATAAACGTACTTCCGGAGGCATTATCATCCCTGACTTCAAACTCTATTACAGAGCTACAGTAATGAAAACAGCTTGGTATTGGCATAAAAACAGAGATGTTGACCAATGAAATGAAATCAAAGACCCGAATATTAATCCATAAACCTATGAACAACTGATTTTCGACAAAGGAGTTAAAATTATACAATGGAAGAAAGAAAGCATCTTTAACAAATGGTGCTGGTATAAACTGGATGTCTACTTTATTTAAATGCAAAGGTTAAAACCTGACCACACATCTTGATCCACTTTTCTCATACAATGTCACAAGCTTTTCACTCATTTCATTTTCATGATCAAATGGAGGCAACTTTTATTAAAAGTATTTTTAAATAAATACAGTAAATCTCAAGTGTGCAAAAGAATTTTGAACCACTCAAACACATGGGGCAAGTTTATTGCTTAGAAAAACACTGTGTTCCCTAGCCAATTCTGTGTTCATGCTTTACCTGGGCTGATTTGCAGGACTGTGGTCTTCTAGCAATATTTTCCTTTCCTGTACCTCAGCATTTTCATCTCAGAAATTGGCTTAACATTACCTGACTCAGTGTTGAAGAAAATGAAAACATGGGGCTATCTGACAGTAATAAGACAACACAAGCATTTTACTTTCCACAGGTCATTTGGTCCCTGCCTTGAGGGAAGACTTGAACAATACACATGAAAACCTAAGCTCGCAACACACAAAAAAAGTAACAACTAAGCTGTCCACTGATCCCACAACAGTGTCTGCATTGCTTTGTCTCTCACCATCATTTGCTTCCAGATTATCTTGTCCTTTATAATCAAAGCAATTCAAGACAAAAGTCTTTCTTATAATGCATTATATTTATTTATTCATTACTCTTACTTGGTGTAAGGGATTGATGCCAGGACCTACTC